AGGTGAGGCGAGTACTGTGGAAGTAGTCGAATATGACATATTGTGAGGTGGTGCTAGTTTGAAGTGAGAAGTCATCTGCCGGTTAATAGACCTTTTTGCCGTATGAGTATACGTTGCCCAGGGTGCACCACGCTGAGGTAAGTCTATCGCACACCCCATATTACAGGAACATAGAGTTATGCATTTGAACTTGGTGTAATATTTGAATAAAGAGTAATCAGTTGCAAATAAACAGAATGTAGTAATGCTTTAATTCAGATTGCTCAAATAATTGAGCTATTAATGGGTAAAATTCCTCATTCTACAGTCAACCTCAAATCTTTAAGCTAAGACTTGCAATATTCGCTAAAATTTTCGACATTTTTTTCTAACTTTTAAATGGTAAATGGATTTTAAGGAAAGAAGAAATAACAAAAAAATACATCGATTACGTAATTTTCCAAACCACATATGAACTCACGAATTGAATTTAAGTAATTTTTTCAAAAAGCGGTTTTGAATCGAAAAATGACTGAAAGGTACTTTTATGATTAACATTCTGGTGGCAAGATACTTGTTTTAGTTACAAATTCAGCGATTATAGTGCTTAGGGGAAATGTATAATCACAGGCCTATGACACACAGAACGCAGGTCTCTATTCCATTGTAAATTTCCCTTGAGATAAGTTAATATCTCAATTACCTGGAATACACAAAATGCCAAATTAGACGTTAGCTTAAAAATCTAGAAATGATTGAGAGCCTCATCTCTTAGCCTTATGGCGGGTGTGTTGTCACTATTAAATGATATGAACAAGGTGTAGTCAGATTTATCTTCATTTCATGCTTCTATCAGATGAATTTAAGACAAACGTGAGATTGAGAAGATATTGATTAACTTTGAATAACGTATTACTCAATCGGCTCACATCATCTCTATGTGAGCGGAAGGTTTAAAACACATACACGATAAATACAGGTAAATCGCAGCACAATCTATAGAGAAATCCAAGGTTTCATAACAAATGGCAAGGTTTTCCTACTGACTTTAAATTTTGATTAAACGGACCACACCAAAGGCTTCTTTGCAAAATAGTTTTTAAACATAAATATGATGCTGGAATTCGAAAGTGAACAATAAGTATTAGTGACTGGCATTGAATTCTCTTATAGCTTTTTGAACTTAATGGGACAGCAGATTCGATTCCAATCGGCAGCGTTTCTTATCCTACATTTCATGAATTAATGGTAAGATAGAGGAACTCTAAAAAGATGTCCCACTAACCTCTGTGAGGATGTGAAAGTGATGTAGTTGCCCAAGCATTAATAAACGGTGACATTCTTTTTCCTCACCGAGAGCCCATTTCCTCTATCCACTTGGGAGGCAATAAATGTTTCACTTTATGGTCCTAGGATTTTAATTTCTTTGATGGAAATAAAACTATTATCTGCCATTGTGATTCATGGGCTAAGTTAATCATAGACGTGCATGAAACGCTTTGATCTAAATGATTAAACAACGCTGGAATGATGTTAACTTATCAAACTTTCTGTAACATGAAAACTCAAGTCTATTTCTATTTACGGTGGCATGTGAGACTCATTAAATAATGTAAGGTGATGACGACGCAAAATGAAGAATTCGATGCTGAAGTACGTCTGTCGCCATTTTCCACGCAGGTTTTAATCCTTTCGGTATGTCTATCTTGTTACTGAACATGGTTTACTTGAACTACTTTGTCACTATAATTTCGGGAATTTGACATTAGTTAATGCTCTTTATAAACTCGTTAATTGTCTTTTTGAGCAATTTAGGAATGCAAACGCTGATATTTGACGAAATAGGGTGTGTGATAGACTTACTAAATGAATGTTGATAACTATCTTAAAGATTACCATTTGCAATGAATATTTGACGAAATTTTCCTCTTCAATATAAGCTGAAAACAATTAAATTTCCGCTAATTACAACTTGATCTTTTGATATGTAGTTGACTGCTAGACTAATAATTTTTGATCAGTCATCAATAATCTGCATTGCAAGATCCCCTCCACTGTATAGGGAAACACGTCTATTCGGGCTGACACTGAGCTTGGGTAATTAAATACAATTTTGGCTATTCTGGCCATGCCATGACTATTGATTGTTTATTGGTTGAGTGGTCTCTGCGCTTACGACCGCATTACTCCTTAACGTGATCGGCAGCACGGACGCACTTGTTGGCTACCGGTTAAGTAGCACGCCGCAATTTCCAGAATGTTCTCACACACATGAGATTCTTTGGTTCAGGCATGCTAGCGTTGTGTTACCAACGGATTCCTTGATATCCACATTTTCATACATTATAAAAATAATCATAATATGAATTCACTAAAATGGATGAGTGATAAGTACGCAACTTCGCCCCCTCACTTAATTGCAGACAAATTCAAAAAGCTCAATGCGTTTCAATTGACGCAAATATAAATTAACTTATTCATTCAACCCCGATTGCATTAATTTTTATCTACAAAGGGTGGGGTCGATTGATAGACAGAGATTGGAAATATGCCTCTCGAACCAACACCAAAATACTTTCAAATTATGCTTCACCTATTAACAAAATAAGACCATCATAATTAAAAGTGTATATTTATAAAAAAAACCTAGTAATTAGCAACTGGCTAATTGCCTATCTGCAGCCTGGCGTGTCTGTTAAATCAACAGAATTTGCATTTGGTGATTGAGTATGCTTAACAATGCATTAGGGTAAATGGGGAACACCTTGAAGTTAAAAAGGTGCGAATTCTGTTTACCTGTAGTAGCCTCAATGACATAGTGAAAACATACATGCGACGTTGAATACGATTCGACGCGTTTGTGCTAGGGGAAGTTGACATGGAGCTTAAGCATTAGATAGGGTGTGGGTACGATGACCTGTAATGACTATTGATCATGGAATAAACGCGACGTCTTCACGTATGTTCCTACAATGTTCCTTACCGCAATATCCATATAAACGTTTAGGTAAATTTTGCAATTCACCGCTTAATCTTAAAGATAAAATTTTCTAAATTAAAGGAATCCAAGGTGAATAATGTACTAGGTTAATGAAAAAAGAAAATCGAACCTTTTACAAACCCAAAACAGAAAAAATAGAAAGAATCACTGTTATGAAAAAACTTACTACAGTTTACAGGAACGGTTTACTCAGTATCGATAATAATATTTATTCCGGGAAATACATAAAACCAATTTTCACTCTGTGATATATATGTAGAAAATGAAATGTAGGGAGTCATTTCAATTTCCACTTGACAGGGAAAAATTGTTAGAAACTCCAGAGTTTAATTCATTTGAACTAATTTCCACTACAGATTAACCACTTTTAATGCACACCTCTGACGTATTAACTATACTCTCATAAATCAATAACCAAAGATAAATGAATTCATAATATCTATTTTAAGCATGATTTAGAAGTAATCGTAAACAATAAAAGTTTAATTGACATATCTCTCCTTATAAAAATAAAATTCACTAAAGAAACTGACATTCTCTCTGAGCTAAGTAAATACACTCGATCTTAATTTATTCCATTTCCATTTTTAATGAACCTTTTTATTATTTCCACTCTTAGAATATCCGGTATATGCGAAAATGCCGTGCAGAAAAGTAAAAGTCAGCCAATCAGATGTGGAAGACGAACGAAGACCTAGTCGTGGAATAATGGACATTTTTCGTCGTAAATCTAGAGATGAAAGAGAAGCCGAAAAGATCAAATTGACCAATGTAGAAAAGACCGACAAATCTGAGAAGAAGAAGAAAAGAAGAGAAAGAGATCGTAAGGATGGAGAGAGTGACAAGGATGGAGAGAAGAATAGAGAGGAAGGAACGGAGAAACTGGAGGAGAAGGAAGTCCCTGAAGGTAAGAAGAAAGAGAAGAAAGAAAAGAAGGAGAAGGAGAAGGAGAAGAAGGGGGGGGAGAAGAAGCAGACGAGTAAGTCAGATTCAGACGAAAGTGACAAAGAATCTGTACCCGAAGTCGTGGCCGATGATGTTAAGAAGAAAGAGAAGAAGGAGAAGAAGAAGGAGGAGAAGAAGAAGAATAAAAAG